TTCTTCTTTGAATGTTTGGTATAATTTGCCTTGAAGCCATCTGGTCCTGGACTTTTGTTTGTAGAGAGTTTTAAAATTACAATTTTAAAATTCTATTTCACCTCTAGTGACTGGTCTTTTAAAATTATGTATTTCTTCTTGATTCAGTTTTGGTGGGCTGCATATTTCTAGATACTTGTCCATTTCTTCCGGGTTATTGAATTTGTTGGCATATAATTGTTCATAATATTCTCATATGGTTTTTTGTGTTTCTGCAGTATTGGTTGTTAGTTTCCTTTTTCATTTCTTTTTTGTTTATTTGAGTTCTGTCTTTTCTTCTTGACAAGCCTGGTCAGAGGTTTGTCAATCTTGTTTACCCTTTCAAAGAACTACCTCTTGGTTTTATTGTTTTCCTTTCTTTCTGTTTTATTCCTCTCTGATCTTTATTACTCCTCCTTTCTTCTGACTTTAGGTTTTGTTTGTTCTTCTTTTTCTAATTCTTATAAGTGGTAGATTAGCTTGTTTATTTGAGATTTTTCTCATTTTTTTGAGGAAAGCTTATATCACTATGAACTTCCATCTAGAACTGCTTTTGCTACATCCCATAGATTTTGTATGGTTGTATTTTCATTGTCTTTTGTCTCAAGATATTTTTAAATTTCCCCCTTGACTTCATTGTTGACCCATTGTTTTTTTAGAAGCATATTGTTTAGTCTCCATGTAATTGTTTCTTCCTCACTTTTTTTCTGTGGTTGATTTCTAGTTTCATGCCATTGCAGTCAGAAAAGATGCCTGAGATAATTTCTATATCCTTAAATTTGTTGAGGCTTGTTTTGTACCCTTTTATGTGGTCAATCCTAGAGAATGTTCCATATGCACTTGAAAAGAATGTGTATTCTGTGCTTTTTCTGGATGTAATATCCTGAAAATATCCATTAAGTATGTTTTATTGTATCATTTAGGAAATGAGCTGTCTTGTTGATTTTCTGTCTAGAAGATCTGTCCATTGATGTGAATGGGGTGTTAAAGTCTCCTACCATTTTGGTATTCTTGTCTTTTTTTCCATTTATGTCTATTAGTATTTGTTTTACACATTTGGCCATTTATGTCTGTTAGTATTTGTTTTACACATTTAGGAGCTCATATATTAAGTGCATGTATGTTGACAAGTGTAAGATCCTCTCCTTATATTAATCCTTTTGTCATTATCTGCTGTTCTTCTTTATAGTCTGTGCCTTAAAGTCTGTTTTGTCTGATATGAGTATTGTGACCCCCACTTTCTTTTGATTTCCGTTTGCAGAAAATGCCTCTTTCTATCCCCTCACTTTCAATCTACGTGTGTCCTCTGCCCTGCAGTGGGTCTCTTGTAGGCAGCATATTGAAGCGCTTGTTTTTTTATCCAGTCTGTAAGTCTGTATTTTTTGATTGGAGCATTTAGTCCATTGACATTTAAGGTAATTATTAATGGATATGTATTTATTGCCATTTAAATCTTGTTTTCCTGTTGATTTTATATTTCTTGTCTATCCCTTTGTTTGTTTGTTTTTCCTTTTGTGGATTGTTGATTTTCTTCTGTATTATACTCATGTTCTCTTCTTTTTAATTTTTGTGAATCTATTGCATGTTTTTGACTCATGGTTACCCTTTTTTTTTCAAGTATATTAACTCCATCCTATATCTACTTGCCTTAGACTGATAGTCTTATAGGCTTAAACACATTGTAAGAAATGAAAAAAAATCAACATTTCTAACTCTCCTCCCCCACATTTTATGATTTTGATGACCTTTTTTACATCTTCATGTTCATCCCTTTGCTGTTAATTGTGGTTATCATTGCTTCCACAGAATTTTTTTTCTTTTTAAAATCTGTATACTGTCTTATTTCAGTGATTTGCTTTCCAATTGTGATTTTCTCTTTCCTGTATATTCTTTTTTTTTTTTTTAATATTTATTTATTTGGCTGCACTGGGACTTAGTTGCAGCATATGGGATCTAGTTCCCTGACCAGGGATTGAACCCAGTTTCCCTGCTTTGGGAGCATGGAGTCTTAGCCACTGGACCACCAGGGAAGTCCCATCTTTCCTGTATATTCTTACTTCTTTTCTATTTAGAGAAGACTTGTTGATATTTACTTTGGAATACATTTAGTGTTGCTATATTCTTTTAGTTTTTGCTTGTCTGAGAAATTTTTTCTCTCTTCTTCTATTCTAAATGATAATATTGTTGGGTAGAGTATTGTAGATTGCAGATTATTTTTCCCTTCAGGATTTTGCATATATCTTGCCTCTCCCTTCTGGTCTGCAATATTTCTGTAGAAAAATCAAGTGATAGCTTTATGGGGATTCCCTTGTAATTATTTCTCTTGCTGCCTTTAGAGTTCTCTCTTTAACTCTTTCCATTTTTATTATATCTTTATATAGGTATGTTTGGGTTTACCTTGTTCGGGGCCCTCTGTGCTTCCTATACCTGGATATCTGTTTCTGTCTTTTGGTTTAGAAGTTTTCAGTCATAATTTCTTAAAGTACATTTTTAATCCCTTTTTCTCTTTCTTCCCCTTCTAGAATCAGAAATATGTATCAGTTGGCATGCTTTACTTTATCTCATAGTTGTTTTATATTGCTTTCATTTTTTTTTTTCATTTTGCTTTCTGTCTACTGTCCTTATTGGGTGATTTCCATCATTCTGTCTTCTAGCTCATTTATTCTTCTGCATTATTTATCCTGATATTCATTGCCTTTAGTTCACTTTCATCTCAGCAAATGAGCTTTATTTTTCTTGGTTCCTCTCTACAGTTTCTAGTTCCTATTTATAGTACTCTGAATTTCTGTCAGTAGTCTTTCTTAATTCATTCAGTATCTCCTTTTTGAAGTCAATGTCTGTTAGACTCAAGAGATCTGTTTCATTATTTGTTCTTTCAGGGGAGTTATCTTAGTCTTAACTGGGAATGGTTCCTCTGCTTCTTAATTTTGCTTATATTTCTCTTATTCTGTGAGTTTAGGAGAAACAATTGTCTACTGTGGTCTTAGAGGGCCACTTATAGGTGGGACCATCCCTGTGTAGCTTGTGTGGGCTTAGTATTTTTGGTGCGAGGGCTGCTTTTAGTAGGGATGCCTGTCGCCTCTGTCCTCAGTGTGCGCTGAGGATCCCCTTGATGGGGATGTGCAGATGTAGTAGTTGGTGCCGGTCATGGGGTTCTCTGTGGCAGTGGCGGCTCACATGCACCCCTGGAGCACGCCATGGGAGCAGAGGAAGTCTGCGACCACTTCTGGAGCCGAGAAGGTGAAAGCGGTGGCTTGAGACAGCTCCTGAAGCCTGGGGCAAGGTGCTGGGGAGGATGGTAGAGGCATGTGGCTGCGCCTGGAGTCTCGGGGCGGAGGGGAGCAATAATGGCAGCTCTGGAGCTGCCCTGGAGCACCTGTAGGTAGTGTCCTGCCACCTGAGAGCTCATGTAGGGGAAAGGCTATACTGCTGAGTTTTGCCCCTGCTCCTGTGCACTGCCCATACGGTGGCACCTGGTCTCTAAGGCAGCCCAGGCCTCCTCTGCATAAACCCTCAGATGGGGTCACGCCAGACTCCTGCCTCTTTGCTCATAGCCCACCCTGGTCCCCTCCCCAGGCCCGATCTCCAAAGCCCGAGCTTCTGCACCCAGCCCCTGTCCACACTGGTGGCCACGTGTCTCAGGCTGGGGACTGCAGAGTGATGGTACTGACCGTATGTACAGGTTTCTTTCCATTCTAGCTGCTTCAAATCAGTTGCTGCATTCTCCTCCAAGGCTCTAAAGCTTCCCCTCTGTCCCAGCTGACTTCCCTGCTGGTGAGAGGACTTCACAGGTACAGGAACCTTCCCTCTTTAATAGCTTCCTCCAAGGGGCACAGGTCCAGTTTTACTGCCTTCCTCAGTTTTTTTTTTTTTTTTTGTCCTCCTTTTTTGTCCTGCCCAGTTGCATGAGACTGTCTTGCTCTTTCAGAGGCTGGGAGTCTTCTGCCAATGCTTGGTAGATGCTCTGTGAGGATTGTTCCACATGTAGATGTATTTTTGATGTACTTATGGGAGGAGGTGAGCTTCATCTTACTATTCCATCTCTGGATCCCCTCTGACTTTTTTCTTCTCTTTTTTTTGGGGGGAGTTGCTTTTCAGAGTTTTCATAGTGAAATATTTTATATCCAGGAATAAAAGTTATTTAAAACAAAAAAGCTGGAGTGGTCTATTGGGACCACTCAGGGGATGGACAACTTTAGGAACAGGTGAGCTGCCTGTTCTTGGAGATGGACAAGCAGAGGTGGTGTCCATCTGTCATGGACATGGTTCCAGGACTTCCTGAACAGGCGAGTGGACGGGGGCTGTGTTCTTTGATGAACTGTGTCAGGACTGCCCCACAGGTCCCTGAGCCTGTGGGAGAAGGGAGTAATCCAATGCACTGCTCCTTTCCTCACACTTGACCGTGCCTGAGAATCACTGGGGAGCTCGTTCCAATTCTGACTCTGATTCAGGAGGTGGGCCCAAGACTCTGCATTTTTAATGAGCTCCAAGTGATGCTGAAGCTTCTGGTCCAAGGCCCTGGAGCACTTTCCCCCTGGATTTGCTATGGAGGGGTGCCCAGGTATTACAGAGCAAGCAGATGATGCCAGGGGTCACGGGAAAGGTAAACAGGGCTGTGAGGATGAGTGACCTGAGCTGAGTGGCATTTCTGAAAGGCCTCTTCAGAGATGTAAAAAGATGAGAGTCTGAGTTGCTGGGTTTGAGAACAGGCCACTTCCCACTATGGCTTTATGGAGAGAGCTCAGTGTTGGAATTCAGCCAGCCAGTATTTGAACCCCAACTCTGCAACTCATTAATTGTGTGTCCTTGGGCAGCTTCTCTTGCTTCCCTCTGCTTCAGTTTCTTCATCTGAGGATAGGAATGCCTGCTGAATAAGGCCATGGTAAGGATGAAGTAGGATAACATGTCAGGTACCTGGCATTCAGTGGGCCTTTGATGAACACTGGCTTTTCCCAACACCGTATACTTGTCTCTTCTTGCAGGTGGATGAGATTTACCACGATGAATCCCTGGGGGTCCACATAAACATTGCCCTTGTCCGCTTGATCATGGTCGGCTACCGACAGGTAAACCTCTTTGTCAGCAGGCAGGATTGGGAGGGAGATGGGGGGTAAGGCAAGAGCATCAGACAAGCTAGGGTGTCGGGAAGGGGGAGCAGTGTCTAGGAAACGCTTTATTTCCAGAATCAGAGCGCAGAGACCATGAGAGTTGAGGTCTCAGTGGCAGAGGCATCTGGGGTTGGTAAGTGGGACTTACAGTTTCCCCAGTCAGATAAATGGACAATCCTTGATCTCTATACCTGGAGGTCCCACTCCTTGAATTGATGGGGATAGTGGGGCTTAGAGAGGCGACAGTGACCAAGATGAGTTCTGCTAGGGTTGGGCCCCAGGCTCTGTTGCTTGTTCTTCCCCGCGTGGGAGTAAAAACAGAGTTTTCTTCTAGAGGCTACTGTGAAGATTAAGTGACAATGAATGTAGAGAGGAAAGGCTCAGAACAGCACCTGCCTGTCGAGGGATTAGAGATCATCAGTTCTCAGCAGATAGGGGTCCTGACATGGGGCTTGGCACAGGAACATTCCCTGAAGCAGGGTTGGACTCTGTGCCTGCGGCAGCCAGAGTCAGTAACCCTGGGGAAGACACTGCTATCGCTTGGGCCTTGGTGTCCCCTGCTGATGGGAGCCTGTTGTGGCCTGCGGGATCTGACCAACCACCATGCTCTCTGGCCCCACAGTCCCTGAGCCTGATCGAGCGAGGGAACCCCTCTCGCAGCCTGGAGCAGGTGTGTCGCTGGGCCCACTCTCAGCAGCGCCAGGACCCCGGCCACGCAGAGCACCATGATCACGTCGTCTTCCTCACTCGGCAGGATTTCGGACCCTCAGGTATGCAAGGTACTGTATTTGCCGTGGCCAGGTGTGTGCAGCTGCAGGGTAGGGGCCGAGGCTGTCTCTGGGGCCGCACTAGGAGGACTGGAGGAATTTTTTTCAACAAAAAGATCCTTGGGACTTTGGAGCAGGACCTGGCTGGACAGGTGGGCAAGCTTTGCAGTGGTTTCTTAGGGACCGGGGAGAGTGAAGGGGTCCCACTCTGGTCCCTGCTGCTTTGGTTGAACCTTCAGTTGGCTGGGCATCAGGCTTTGGCCCTGTGCTCACCAGCCTGAGACTTGGCTGCGTGAAGGTCTCGGTGACCTTCAAGGTGCTCCTGCCCACACTGTATCCTTCCATCTTCAGAAGCTGGTGGTGGGGAACCTGCAACAGGGCCAGTGTGGTCTTCTGGAAGGAAGGCCTTGCTCTCCCTGCTGATCCATGACTCCACAGCCCAGTGAGCTGAGCTTACTCATCCTCAGAACTCTCCCCACTGTGGAGTGGAGGAAATAGTCGTATATTTGCTGTCCTCTGTTCCCAGGCTGCTAAAAGGCCTGAAGGATGCATGCAGTGTCTGTGATAGAGGCTGGCTGAGTGCGCTCTGCAAACTCAGGAAGCTTGGATCACCTCCCCCCACCTCTAGCTTTTTGTAAGGGGAAACCAAGGTCCAGAGTGGCAACAAGGTTTGCCCAGGCCCCACTGCAGAGAGGAGACAGAGCTGAAACTCAGACTGGATCTCCAGACACCAAGTTGAGGGCTTCTTAGTGTTTTCTGGTCTGATGCTAGAAGAGGGTCAGCCTGTACCCAAAAGGGCTGCTTGTCTGAATCCTTGAAATCCTCAAGGCGAGCTTGTACACACACAGATCGACACACACATGTACAGACAAACATGTACTCTTGCCCAGGCACACGTGCACACAAACACCCACACACGTGTGTACTCACATGTGCTGTTGAGCACATCCAGACCTCCAGGACAGGTAGGACCCCAGAAACCTCTATACCCCCAGGACCATCTCAGGAAAGGGTTTTGGCAGTTCTGAAGACAGAGAATAGCTGTCTGGCCCTGGTTGGCTGAAAGCCCAGGGCAGGGAGCGTTCTCTGCCATTGCCCCCTCTTCAGAGGTCTTCCCCAGCCCAGGCTGCCCTCCCAGCCAATTACGGGCCCTGGGGAGGCGGGGATGCAGCCCCCTAGATCACAGGCCTCTCACACAAAGCCACTCAGCCAGTGCTGGCCTCACTATGGCTGCCATGTGCTGGCCCCCTGCGCTGCCCGTGTCTCCTGAGGCCTGCACAGTCGTGTCTTCACTCTGCCCATGTCCTCCCCTCCACGTGTCCACCCCCACCTCCCCAGAGTCTCTCACCTCTCCCCCAGCCCCAGCTCTAGGCCCTCATAAGTCATTCCCTGGTCCCCTCAACCCCTTCTATTAGACCCATTCCTTGGGTGACTCCCAGTCATCCCCACACATCCCTCTGTGCTCCTGGAATTCTGGCCCTCCAGGCCCACCCCTAAGGAACCTGCTGACCCTGGTCTGCCTGCAAAGCTGTCTGCCGCTCACGGGTGTGGATGCGCTATAGGATGGGGGTGCGGGCTGGCCCCTGAGTCCTCTATTCTCCCCATAGTGTCTAACACACGGCCAGCTGTCACACTGCACAGATGTGTGGAGCTTGTCAACTGACCGACTGGCTGGCTGGAAGGCTGCAGCTTGGAAGCTGGGTGTATGCAGGCTTGGGCACCCTGCCTTGTTTAGAGGAGGGGCTGACAGGCGCAGGGAGCCGCAGGCCAGGAGGGAAGGCATCACGCCTTAGGATGCGGGGGCAGCTTGGATGAGGTGCCATCCTGCAGCTGCATACATATAGGGCGGGACGTTGCAAGAATCCTTCTTCCTCCTGGGACCCTCTGGCAGTGACCCGATCCAGATGTGCCTGCAGGGGCTGGCTCAGCACAGACCTCATTGTGTCCTGCCTCACCTGCGTGTGACCTCTCTCTGCCCTCTCTCCCCATCCCCGGCAGGGTACGCGCCTGTCACTGGCATGTGCCATCCCCTGAGAAGCTGTGCCCTCAACCATGAAGACGGCTTCTCCTCGGCCTTTGTGGTGGCCCACGAGACCGGCCATGTGTAAGTGGCCCCGTGGGGGCGGGCTGTGCCTTGAACTCCAAGCAGGTCTGTGGGTATAGGATGTTTTGTCCTAGTTCTGATTCCCATCCCAGGCTCCTGGGAGATGCCAGAGGAGCTTCCCTGGGGGGGAGGGAACCCCGGGGCCCAGAGAGCAATTCTGAGTCTGCCTTGGGCCCAGCCTCCAAATCCCAGGGCTGTGGGAGACCAGACATGGCCCTGCCTTTGGCAGCTCAGTGACAGTGTCCCCTCAGAGGCAGCACTGTGCTCTCTGGGTGGCCTCTGTCCCTCTGTCCAGTCACTCCTTGAGGCCCTCCCTGCTGCTTGCATGTGGAGCGCTGGCTGGAGTCCATCTTAAACAGGTGCATGTAGATCCAGGACGCGGGCCAGGCTGGTAGCTGGCTTACGTGATCCTCGGACCTGGATTTGGTTTAGAGTGTATTCATTCATTTAATCAACCAGTATTTCTGAACACCTGTTGTGTGCCAGGCCCTGTTCTAGAAATAGGGCTTCCGTGGAGAACGGGACACAAAAGCATGCAAGATGCTATGTGCTGGGAGAAAACAAATAATCCACCATCCAGTGTCCAGTGGTGATGCACACCTGTCACAGTCACGCCTCCTGGCCTTGTCTGTCCACAGGGCAGAGCTAAGGGACACGCCCCCAGCTTGCCTGTCCCCAGCCAAGGTGCAGAGTGAGGGCCATTTTTTGCAGCTGGAAGGACATGGGAAGGAGTGGGCCAGCTGCAAGGGTGAGCCTGCTGCCCATGGTCAGCCGTGCCCCTCTCCGCATCTCCCTGCCCCTGCGGTTTCACCCCAGCCCTGCCCTTCGTTGAGTGGGTGGCACCTCCTCTCTGGGGCCTTCGTTTCCTCAGCTACAACACAGAGGCTGGCACCGGGGAAATCTGCGAGGGCCCTTCCTGCGCTGGTGGCCAATACTTACCCATATTCTAGAGCCAGGAGTTTGTCTTCCTGTGTGTGGGGTGGACTCTTCACTCACAGAGCCCCTGCCTGCAGAGACAAGGTCAAGCTTAGAGGCCCACTCTTGGCCTTGGGCTCCAGAATCCAACACTCGTCCTGGGCCTTCACATCCCCAGAGGCCCAGAGTCTCTGTCTAGTGGTGTCTGTCTAGTGGTCAAGGCCAGATGCAGACGTCTGGGAATGTGTAAGAATTTAGAATCTTTGGGCTTCGGTGTTAGATACTAACTATAAAGGGCTTCCCAATGGTGCTAGTGGTAAAGAACACGCCTGCCAATGCAGGAGACGTAAGCGATGTGGGTTCGATCCCTGGGTTGGGAAGATCCCCTGGAGGAAGGCACAGCAACCCACTCTAGTATTCTTGCCTGGAGCATCCTATGGGCAGAGGAGCCTGGTGGGCTTCAGTCCATGGGGTTGTAAAGAATCAGACATGACTGATGCGACTTAGCATGGACACTAACTATAAAGAGCAAACTTTTACATTTAAACTATCATTATGGCAGGTGGGTACCACACACATAGTTCTGTAAGGCCAGGTCTAGGAGAAGCTAAAAAGGCTGGTACACAGGTAGAGTGCCGTAAGCCAGGTCATACTGAACAGAATGAAATTGGTCCTTGCGCACAAGGCCTCAGGTTTGGAGGGGAGACAGCGCATAGTGTGCGAGTTGTTAACCTTGGTGCAGGTGGCCCCTGCTGTGGGCAGATAGCCCCTGGGCAGGGTGGCCAGGAAGGGTGTCCTGGGGCCAGAGTGGGGCTTGAGCTGGTTTCAGACACTGTGAGGATGTTAGGGAGGGTTTGAGGAGGGGGCTGGAGGGCAGAATGAGCTCAGCCCCATTGAGGGGCAGTGTGGGGCCTCAGCTTCCATCCAGTGGGGTGGCCCTCCCCACTGCACAGTGGGGAAACTGAGGCCAAAAGGCACAGTCTGAAGCTTGGTCAGGGCAGAGTCTCCAGCCCACCTGCTCATCTTCCCAGGGGTGGGCTTGCTGGGTGTGACTCAGGACTTCCCTCTCTGCCCCCCCACCTCCAGGCTCGGCATGGAGCACGACGGTCAGGCGAACGGCTGCGCGGATGAGACCAGCCTGGGCAGCGTCATGGCACCGCTGGTGCAGGCTGCCTTCCACCGCTTCCATTGGTCTCGCTGCAGCAAGTTGGAGCTCAGCCGCTACCTCCCGTAAGTCACCTCTGCCCTCTGCCTCTCCGCCTCCCCCATCATCTCCCCTCCCAGCACCATCCCGTGCCTGACACAAGCTCCAGTCTGGTTTTGCTGGTCAGTTCCTGGGCCTCTGGCGATGTGGAGGCCCAGGACGAGTGTTGGATTCTGGAGCTCAAGGCCAAGGATGGCCTTGAGTAGATTTGTACGTCCTGCGTGGTGGGCTGATTTGTCTTCCTCTCTCAGTGCAGTGAGCCCTCAAACTGTCTGAGATCCAGCCCTTATTTTGGGCCATGGCATGAACTCTGTAATATGGGTGAAATGGGCCCTATAAGAAAGCCACGAGCTGCGTGCCTAAGGCTGGTCCTGGTGCCCTTGCCTTGGAGCCCAGACATGGTCATGAGTGGAAGCAGGGGCAACTCTGGGGTAGCCCATTTTCCCTGGAGAATGCAGCAGCTAGCACAGAGCAGCAGGCGGGTTCCTGCAGGCCTTTCGAGCTTGGTTCCTGCCGCCTCCTCTGTGAAGGGAGGGTTGGGGCGCTCACCTCCCTGCCTCTGCTGGCAGCTCCTACGACTGTCTCCTTGACGACCCCTTTGCGCCTGCCTGGCCCCAGCCCCCGGAGCTGCCTGGCATTGACTACTCAATGGATGAGCAGTGTCGCTTCGACTTTGGCACCGGGTACCACACCTGCTCGGCGGTGAGTTCCCATGGCCTCTGCCAGCTGGGATGTCAGGTCAGCCTCCTGGGTCCCAGGCTGGTCATTCATGGAGCCACCACAGGGGGACACAGGATGACCAGGGTCCAGGCCCTGCCACCTTCTGCTATGTCCCCACCACACCCAGTCCCATGGAGGGCCGGGGAGACAGTATGTGTGGGGGGGGTGCTGGAAAATGCCTAGAAGGATAGGAACAGAATAGAACATGGAGAGTGGGCCACCAATGGGGTCCTGGCGGGCCAGGCTGGCAACTGGGGGAGTTTATCTGCCAGGTGGCTCGTGTGTCAGATCAGGTACTAGCTCTGGGCTGGTGGAGAAATAGTTGCCTGTATGGGTGTTTGGCAGGATATTTGGGCAGACTTCCCACCCTGGTGAAGTTCTCCTGTGTCCCACGTAATCTCTCTCCAGGGGATCAGTTGCATGCTCCCCCCACCCTCTGCCCTGTGCCTGAGATGGTAGATACAAAGGAGCAGAGCCCTGTTCTTCCCTGCAGGACAAGGCAGGGAGAGCCTGGAGCCTGGCAATCAGCTGAGCCACCCAGGGGAGGATCAAACAGCTGCTGAGCAGGGCCCAGGCAGAGGCTCAGAGAAGAGGACATTCCAGGGCAAGGGGGATGTCCTTAGGCCTTGGTGCCTTGAGTACGTCGTCATACCTCCCCCATCCAGGAATGCAGCCCCCTCCTCAGCTCTGCAGGACCTGAGGGCCCTGTGTGTGGCCATCTTGTGCAGGGCTCAGGCCACACTGGGACACCTGGTCTCCACTTTGAGGGTGGAAAAGCAGCTAGGAAATGGGATTTCAATGCCCAGAGGCTGTGTGTGTAGGACACGAGTCTGGCAGGCAGGGGATGATAAGACAGAAAAGGAGATTGAGGCTTTCCTAGACAATGTGAACTATAAGGTTACCAGCCTTATATGAGGAGATGGCAACCCCCTCTAGTATTCCTGTCTGGGAAATCCCATAGACAAAGGAGCCTGGCAGGCTATAGTCCATGGGGTCACAAGAATCGGACAGGACTTAGCGACTAAACCACCACCCCAACCTTATATGAGAGGGAGGTGGGAGTCCTGACCTTGTCTGGGTACTGCAGGGTCTAGGCTAGACTGGCAGCTCCCTCCAAGCCCCCCACATGCATAGAGCTCAGGGACCATCAGCAGACCCAGCCTCCCCATAGCCTCAAACCGTGGTCCCCGCTCAGCGACAGAGTGGCCTCTGCAAGACAAGGACGGAGGCCTTGGAGGGGAGAGTAGAGGCATGTGGGCTGTGGGGGGCGCCTTCTCGCTGGGGTGGCTGGAGGCCACTGGCACTTGAGGGGGGAGCTGAGCTGGTGGACATGTGGGGCTCTGGTTGGATGGGTCCCTCCTGCCTCCGTGGCGGTGTTTGGCCCCAGCGCCCACCCATACCCTGCCCCCTCTCTGTCACTGTCGGTTCCCCTGGACAACTCGCCACAGCTGGAGGGCCAGTCCAGCCTGGTGACCCCCTCCCCCTTGCTGCACAGTTCAGGACCTTTGAGGCCTGCAAGCAGCTGTGGTGCAGCCACCCCGACAACCCGTACTTCTGCAAGACCAAGAAGGGGCCCCCGCTGGACGGGACTGAGTGCGCGCCAGGCAAGGTAACTGTGGGCTGGGGCTGCAGGCAGAGTGCCTTCCTGGGTGCCGGCCCCCGGGGGGACCTGCCCCTCTGGCCAGTGTGGGCGGGGTGGGAGTGTGGGACAAGAGTGAGCCTTGCGTGCAGGCAGATGGGTGTGGAGTCCTCACATGAACTCACACACACCCCCTCTCCTCCCCGGGACCACAGTCTTTTGCCTTCTACCGAGAGTAAGAGTTTGGCCTCGTCTCATAGTGCATCAGCAGGCATGTTTACTCCCATTTTACAGATGAGGAGAGTGAGGCCCAGGCCAGTTAGGGAACTTGTGGAGGTCAGACAGAAGGTGATTAGCAGAGAGGGAGGTGAAGGCAAGGCTCCGGGTATTCTGCCTGCTCACCTCCCCACTGCTCACCATACTGTTTCTCACCACTCCACCCCAGCTGCCCATTCACTATTTTCTGGTGTAAGTTTGTACTTTCTCTCTTGTGTGTGTGTGGGGGGAGGTGTTCAGGGGTCCCCGGGTCTGAGAGTCTTGAGCTGAGGTCTGAAACCCACCTGTGCTCTATCGCTGGCCCTGCCTCTCCCCGCAGCTCTATGTGGTGACCTTGGGCCATCCTCTGACCAAGCATGTCCCTCTCCTCGGCTTCTTGTGAACTTAGGAGCCCTGTCAAAGCAAATGAGGGCGCTGGGAAGAAGCAGGGTGCTACCCCCACCAGCCTGTCCTCTGCCCTTCACCCTCAGCCCTCAGCAGGATTGCGTCTGTAAATGGTCTGTCCCTTCACAGATGGGTGGAGCTTCTTTTAAAAATCTCTATCCCTGCAGAGTCTGACTCAGTCCGGGGGTGAAGCTGAGACATCCGGAGTTTTAAAAGTTCCCCTAGTGACTCTGAGGCTGAGAAACACTGAGTTCTCTCTTGAAAGTGACCTGGAGGGCTTTACTGTATTTCTTACCTATGGCCCCACAGGACAAGGGAAGGGGGTTAACCTGGGTTGAGCTCTCCTTTGTGCCTGGCCTTGTGCTGAGGCCTTTGTGAGTGTGGCTGCCTTCAGTTCTGAGAACAGTCCCATTTAACAGGCAAGTACCCTGAGGTTCAGCAAGGTGAAGTGAAGTGAAGTCGCTCAGTCATGTCCGACTCTCTGCGACCCCATGGACTGTAGCCTATCAGGCTTCTCCGTCCACGGGATTTTTCAGGCAAGAATACTGGAGTGGGTTGCTATTTCCTTCTCCAGGGAATCTTTCCAACCCTGGGATCGAACCCAGGTCTCCCGCATTGCGGGCAGACGCTTTACCATCTGAGCTACCAGGGAAGCAAGGTGAAGCTCTGCCAAAGCCACACACAGCTAGTAATGGCCAAGCCGGGATTCAACCCCGGGCTTCTTGAACTTGAGGCACACACCCTCCACTGTGTGGCTGGACCTCCCATGAACATACCTGCTTGGGGTCCCAGATGGTGATTTCGAGGTACAGAGCCAAGATCAACTCTAGATTGTGTGGGAAGGTTGTGTCTTCTCTCCTTTATCAGCTCTTTGTGCCTCTGGCGGTGGTAAACCAAATAATTGCAGTTCCTGCCATCATTATTATATCACCTGCTGTTACTGGAGGGCTGTGTGTGAGTGCTCACAGCAGCCCTGCGGGTGAGTGCTGTTATCCCCATTGTCCAGCTGAGGAGTGGGCTCTGAAAGGGATATCCTTTGCTGAGGGTCATTCAGCTCACGGAGGCATTGGATTCCGTGTGACCCCGAGGCTGGTGCTCTTAGCATTCCTTTCTCTGGGCTCACCACGGTGCCCAGTTGGGCACTTTCTATGGCAGTGACTCCAGGGTGACCTCACACCCTCTGCTCCATCCCAGTGGTGCTTCAAAGGTCACTGCATCTGGAAGTCGCCGGAGCAGACTTATGGCCAGGACGGAGGCTGGAGCCCCTGGACCAAGTTCGGGTCGTGTTCACGGTCCTGTGGGGGCGGGGTTCGATCCCGTAGCCGGAGCTGTGACAATCCCCCGTGAGTGCACTTGGCTGAGGGGGGCAGGGCAGGGGCCTGAGGGGCTTGGAGGGGGAGGCGCTGGGGGGCAGGGCCCAAGAAAGAAGGTCCCCTGCAGGTAGCTACATATTCCAGTGGATGAGGACCCAAAATTGTTTCAGGCACCAGATCACTTCCACCTTGGTCAGACATTTCCCTTTGGGTCTGACATCTGAGAACGGGTCTGAGCCGGTGATTCTCAGTATCTCATGTGTAGAGAGTCTGGGTGGGCCCAAGGCTTGGTCAGTTTAACAAGCCCTTCTGTGACCCTGATCCTCCAGCTAAACTTTGAAAAAACACTGTTCACTAGCCATGTTTTAGGAGAATAAATTCCCCAAGTCTGTTTCCTGTTTTCCTGAAGCAAAACTTCCTTCAGTTTTTCTTATCTCTTTCCAATGTCAAATCCTCTCCTTACCGCCCCCCCCCCCCATTTTTCAGCATTCTGAGGGAGCAATCTATTTCTCCCTTTTATCCTCTCCATGGGGTTCCCCTCCAGTTGTTTTAGTACCTCTGAGCATCAGCTTTTTATGGCCTCCATCTCCCAAGCTGATGCAGCCTGCTTAGAACAGCTTCATGGGAGCTGGGGGCTGGCCCAGTCTGACCCTGTGGGTCTGCTGGTCCCAGGAAGCAGGGATGCAGAACCTCTGTGGGGCAGGGCCAGCCTAGCCCTCACAGCAATGAGTGATGTGATGGGGACCTCAGAACAGCAGGATCCTAGGATCACAGAGGCTCAGTGGTCGTCATCTTCTCTCCAGCATCTTCAGGAGTAGTCCTTCCTACTCTGCTGTGTGTATACTTCCAGGGATGGGACTCTCAGTGCCTCCTGGAGCAGCCTGTTCACATGTCAGATGACTGTGCTGACCCTTTACAAGTAGGAACCAAAGAGAGCAGCCTTGTAACTTCAGCCTGTTGAGGGTATGAAAGCTGGGTTAGAGAAAGGGCCAGCGGTACCCACTCTGGATAAACCACCTCCTGGTCATGGCACATAGTTATTCCCTTGACTGAAGCTCCTGTTTATTAAACTGCTCTGAAATAACTATTTTTATTTTATGAGGCTTAAATGAAACATTGTGTGTACTCTCAGCACCATGCCCAGCACAGTTTAAGCGCTAATGAAGGACGGCCTCTGTTCTAATTACTCCAGTGTATGGACCGCTTTCTCTGCACCAAGTGGGGTGCTCAGCACTCCTGTGCATAAACCCACATAACCCTCCCAGCACCTCTGTACAGAGTTCCAGTAACCCCATTCACTTGAATACTTTGTACCTGTAATCTTACTGAATCCTTTTAACTTAATGGGGATGAGAGTACAGATTGCTTAAGGATACATTTTTAAAATTTATTCTTCACAGACACACCAGGAGGTAGATAAAATAAGAGGTGTTGTGGTCCCTCCTTGAAAGGGGAAATTAAGGCATAGCAGGCTTGGGTGTAGATTCAGCTAGATCTTTTGACTCCAAACCCAAGTCTCTTTTACCACTCCTTAGTTTGTGGTGATAGTAAATGGAGGTAGATGCAAATGAGAGCAGTTGAGTCATGTATTGGGGGCCTACTGTATATCAGGCCTGTGCAATGGGTGAAAGAATATGCAAAGATGAGTAAGACTGATTTCTCTTCCAGCCCAGTTGGAGCGGTTAGTCTTTCCCTCTCGTCTTCCTCCTCTCTACTCCATCTCTTGCCCCGTTTCTTTCTTTCATTCTCTCTTCTGCCTGATCACACACACACAAACACAAAAATAGGTAGCATATACCTGAAGGGACCAAAAGACTCTGAGCTCAGCAGCCCTCACAGTGGGACTCCCCCCTAATTTCCAAGTTAGTGGGGCCCCTTTTTATGCTCCTCTAAAGGGCTGAGCCTCCCAGGTGGCTATGGGAAAGCCTGCCACCTGTCCAGCCTTTCCAGCCAGCACGGTCTCTCTATGCCTGTCCCAGCCCAGCTTATGGAGGCCGCATGTGCTCAGGGCCCATGTTCCAGTACCAGATCTGCAACAGCGAGGAGTGTCCAGGGCCCTACGAGGACTTCCGGGCCCAGCAGTGTGCCAAGCGCAACTCCTACTACATCCACCAGAACGCCAAGCACAGCTGGATCCCCTATGAGCCGGACGATGGTGAGTGGGGCCCTGTTCCCTCCACCTCCCGCCCCATGGCCTTGGGTATCTGCTGGGTCCTTATCTTCCCAGACAGGGCCTTCCATGCCTGGCCCACCAGTGAAGGTGGAGGGACAGTGGCGGCACCCAAAGGGGCATTGCAGTTGGCAGGTTTGTCCATGCCTTTGTGCAGGCCTTTGCACTGTGTACGTTGGGGGCCCACCATCCTCATGAACATCATCCTGGATTTGAATTCTTATGCTGTTTCCTGGCAGATGCGAGAGCAATGTCTTGATCAGGGGTCACTTGGCCCAGAAGTGCCGTTGAGGCTGGCAGCAGTGCTGGTGGCGGGGCGGGTGCTTTCAAAAATGTCCTGCATGTGCAGAAGGTCCGGTACAGGTGCTTCCTTGCATTGCATCACCAGTGTCCAGAGAAGCTCAGTCCTGTAACTGAACATGTTTTTAGGTTTTCACTGATTGTACTACTGTTTTAGGCATTAATGAAAATGATTGGAAAGTAAGGTCAATGGGAGCCTGTGAGATCCTCCCACTGAGCCCCTCCAAACTGCCCTGGACACAGGCCTTGGGACTCATGCAGAGGGTCAGGATTTTGGAGCTAAGCCAGTGCCTATCTGTTTTGGAGCTTTTTTAGTGATGTCTCTTGTAGTGGCAGAGGATGAGATGGTTAGATAGCATCACTGACTCAATGGGCATGAATTTGAGCAAACTGAAAGAGTGAAGGACAGGGAAGCCTGGTGTGGTGCAGTCCATGGAGTCTCAAAGAATCGGGCATGACTTAGTGATTGAACAACAGTAACTCGTAGCAGCAGAGAGAAGCCAGTGAACGGCTGGGACTCATGCCATCTTCGTGCCTTCAGGCTGGAAGGACCTTCAGCTGTCCTCTGAATCTCCCTTGCCTGGCCAGGCCTCTCCATGGTCCTTCCACGACCTGATGCTCACCCCCTACCACCCAGCCCTCAGCCTCAGGCAGTACTGATCAGAATGGCCTTTGCTCTTCTGAACCCAGGGCCTCCTCCTTGTAGCCCTGGTTTCAAAGCATCCATTGCAAGACCCTCCGTTCTTCAGCTCTCATTTAGAATGAGAGTCTTCAAGTTGGAAGGGACCTCAGAGGGCCTGTGTGTTGCCCCCCAGGGCACAGATCCCTCTAGGACGTGCTCACAGGGAGTGTCTCCTCCCTGCTTAGACTCCCCCTAGTCTGGGGAGCTCACCACTTCCATGCCACTGTTGGCTGGCTTTCAGGGCTGCCTGGAAACCCACTTGCTTGAGGTGTACTGGTTAGGGTCTTGCCTTTTCTTGGGAGGGTGAAAGCTCTGTACCCCTCAGCCCCTGGCCCAGGTCCCACTGGAAGTATGGCTGCTCCTGTGTGTGAGATCCAAAATGATACTGGATGTTGTCTCTAGACTCAAGTCCTGAGTGCTGGGACCTGATGTCACTGGGCAACAGGGACCTTAGGGTTGAGGAGCCAGGAGCCAGATGGTTCCTGACAAATTTTGCTTTGGAAGCTTTGCAGATCCATCCAGAACCCACACAGGCTGCTGTAACACGGGGTGGAGAAGGGCTATAAGGTCAGTGGGACAGTTGGACTTTGGGTTTTCCCAGGACTCTTACACAAATTCCGGGAAGTTAGCTAAACCCCAACCTCCCTTTTTCTAAGAAACACAGCAAGTGTTTATATGTTCTCCAGAACCTACTTTTATAGGACATTTATAGCCTAGACAGAGAACAAGTGAAGTGAAGTCGCTCAGTCGTGTCTGACTCTTTGTGACCCCATGGACTGTAGCCTACCACGCTACTCCGTCCATGGGATTTTCCAGGCAAGAGCGCTGGAGTGGGGTGCCATTGCCTTCTCCAAGACAGAGAACATTTGATTGTTAAAACTAGAAAGGACCTCTGGAAAGGACCTCCTTCCTTCCATCACTGCTGCTCCATTTTGTAAGCCCAAACCCAGATCACTGTTCTGCCTTACTTTTACGAAGCCTTCTAATGTTCACAAACATGTTGAGATTCACTATCATATGTGTGACTGGTGATGTGTATGTAGAGATCAGAGCAGAGTCTGGCCCAAAACAGACAGCCTGGGTTAGAATCCTGGCTCTGCCACTTCCTGGGTGGCTGAGTAGCCATGAGCAAATTCCTTAACCTCTTTGGTTCTTGGTTTCCTCCTCTGTAATGTTGGAACCTACTTCCTGGGGAGTATTGAGAGGTTTAAATTAGCTAATTCACAAAAAGCGTTTAAAGTTGTATGTCAAGAATGTATAAAGGTTTTCGAAGCCTGGCACATAGTAAGCTTTCATTAAGTGTTGGCTAATTGTTGTTGTTATTGTTTTATCACATGCTGTTTTTTAACAGTGTGATGTGCATTTACTAGTGGGGGTAATAAATAAGGAACTGAGGTTCAGAGAGGTCAGATAAGTTACCCAAAGTCACATGGCTCCTAAGTGCCATAGCAGGGCTTTTATGCCCAGCTCTACACCTAGTTCGCCCTGCACTGCCCAGAGCTGGCCCCTGGGACTTCCCGTCCTGGTCATGTGCTAGTGTTGGCCTAGGCCAGCCCACTTTCTGCGAGCCCAGCTGGCTCAGCGTGTTCCCTTTCCCCACAGACGCCCAGAAGTGTGAACTGATCTGCCAGTCAGAGGACACAGGGGATGTCGTCTTCATGAACCAAGTTGTCCATGATGGGACTCGCTGCAGCTACCGGGACCTCTACAGTGTCTGTGCCCGCGGCGAGTGTGTGGTAGGTGGCCCCCTCTGGACCCACCCTCTGCCTGCCCCAGGAGACTGGAGGGCTGCAGCGCCTCCCCCTCCTTCTGTTCCCTGGGAAGACAGGCATCACCTCACCTTCCCCACCCATGACACCTCTTGTCCTCAGCGTAACTCTGGGATGCTGGAAAGGGGTCACTGCCCAACTCCATTCAAGGAGAGAGTCATGGCTAGGTTTAAGAGCTTGACTGTGTCACATAGCATGTTTGTGGCAGAGTCCCGTCCAGGAATGCGTCTCAGTCTACGGTCCTTTCATGTCTGGGGACTGGAGAGCGGGCCAGGGGCTGCCGGCCCGCATGTGGCTGTGCGGGTGTGGAAGCCTTCTTTTGCTGACCCCATCTCTGACTTTAGCCCGTCGGCTGTGACAAGGAAGTGGGGTCCATGAAGGCAGATGACAAGTGTGGGGTCTGTGGCGGCGACAACTCCCACTGCAGGACTGTGAAGGGGACGCTGGGCAAGGCCTCCAAGCAGGCAGGTGAGCAGGTGGGGGTGGCGGATGACCAGGAGCAGTGGGGTCCTGGTCCAGCCAGGGCCCTAGAGAATGAACCATCCCTAGATGAGCCCCTCCCGGCTTGAGCCACGCCACAGTTCAGGCGGAGAGAGGGGCCCTGGAGCCTCTGCCCTGACTGTGATCCCTCACCATCCAGGTGTGCTGTGCCTGCGCTTGGGCTCAGGAGCTCAGAAGCATTTCCTGCTCGGCACTGTGGGTCATAGGAACTGAGCTTGTGGTGGGAGTGAGGGTGAGATAGGTCTAAAGACGAGGCCCAGGCTGGACTAGCAATTTTCCCTTTCATCCTCATCTTTTACCTTGTTTTTTCATTTGTTGTTGTTGTTTTTTTTAACTCAAGTGCTTCCCGCTTTGAACTCCTGGTCCTTTAAGTTCCTTGACTTCTCTCCATACCTCTATTGAAAAGGGCCAGATATTAGTCCTTTACACTTTAGTTTGAATTAGATTCATTTCCCCTTTGGGAGTATTTCAGCTTTGCCTTGTCTCTCCCTGTTGGGGGAATGTTGATGGTTCTGAGAAAGGTTAGTTTTCAGGTGTTGGATTGGGAGGATCATGGGGACCCCCTAATGCTGAATCTTCATGGCTTGTTTCATCAGAATCCCTACAGTGGCTTAAGTATGAGAAAGAATGGGAGAGTGGAACCTCAGGAGAGAAGAGGAGAGTCAAGACAGTGGGAAATAGTAGCAAGTGACACATGCACTGAGTCCATAGTTTTTATAGAGCATTTTAAGCTATGTAAACTGTGATCCTTTCAGAACTCTGTGAAGAAGGGCCCATTCCTATTTACAGATAAGGAAACTGAGCTTCCTGGGTACCTATGAGGAGCGGGGGTGATGGGAGATGCTGGGTGTGATGTTCCCAGCTCAGGATGCTCATGATTTTTCTGAAACCTCTTCTGTGGCAGGGGCTCTCAAGCTGGTGCAGATCCCAGCAGGTGCCAGGCACATCCAGATTGAGGAGCTGGAGAAGGTCCCCCACCACATTGGTGAGTAAGGGGTGCTGGGGGATAGGCAGCCAGCCCCTGGGACCTGCCATCAGGTGTGGGGGAGCTGGGAGAATGGAAGAGAAGATTCTAATGTAGGGGGGCATTTCTTGAATTTGAATAATGTAAGAGAATGCTTTTTTGTTGATTGATTGATTTTTCATTTGTGTTGAATTGGAAAGAGGCTCCATGCTTCAGATTTCAGAAGGTATGAAAGGGGATCCAGGGGAGATTCCTTCCACCCTCTACCCCAGGAGCATTTTTCTTCCCCAGGGGCAAACACTGTTCATTTCTTGTGCACATAGGTACCTTTTAAAGGTAACCCATTTTCATAGAATGTATTAGTTAATGTTTGCTGTATAATACATCATCCCCGAACTTAGCAGCTTCATGCAGCAAGTGTTAATTAGCATAAGTTCTGTGGATCCCCAGTTTGGGCTGGGCTCAGCTGGGTGCTTCTTCTAACTCATCGTCCTGGAAACTCACTCACCTAAGTGCAGTCAGCTAGTGGGTCTGTAGGGACCTGGTTGGTCCTGGCTGCAGCTGGGGTTACAGGGGTGACAGGGTCATGTCCCCAGCTGGCTAGCCTGGGATTATGCACGTGGGATCTGTTGCATGGTCCTCAGGAGTGGCAAGAGCAGGCAAACCCCGGTGTGCAAGCCCATTTCAAGTCTCTGCTTGTGTCCTGCTTTCTCATGTCCGAGTGGTCTAAACAAGCCTCATGGCCAAACCCAGACTCAAGAGGTAGAAACAGAATATCTCCTAATGAGAGACGTGGTACATCACAGTGCAAAGAGGTGAACCAACAGGAATAGGAGGTATTCGTGGCTGTTTTTGCAGTCTATCAGAGGGAGCCTTCAATTATTCTTATTATAATGATGCTTAAACACATAATCTCTAAGCTAGATGCCGACCCTTTATATGTACACCAGTTATACAGCTATAAAACTAAGACATGAAAAATGACAGCCCCCCAAATCAATCAGTAGAATTAAAATTAAGACCATAAATGTAAGAAGGGGAGATCTTAATGTACTTTTTTTGCTTCGTTCTGTTTTTGCTGAAACTAAATTGGCATCAAAAAATGAGCATGTGCAGAATAGGCAAATCCATAGAGACAGGGAGTAGGTTAATGGTTGTCAGGGGCTGGAGAGAGGGAGAAATGGTGAGTGACTACAAATGGGTCTCAGATTTCTTTTGGGGGTGATGAAAATGTTCTGGAATTAGATAGTGGAGGTGATTACACAGTCACAGAATCACACCCTTTAAAAGGCAGTGTTGTATTCCATGTGAATTTTATCTCGATTGAAAGCACATTAGTATGGTTTGGAGCAGGCTCCTGGCGAGCAGGTGGGCAGAAGGCTGGGCAGCACGCTGGGCAGTGCTGGGTTCCCCACACTTGTCTATGTTCAGACTCCTTACAGAGGGTGCATGGTTGTGATGTCCCTGGGCCATGACAGGTCCCAGAACCCCCTCTTAACCTACTACAGCCACCAAGATGCACTGCTTATTACCAGCTCATCATGAACACAAACACAAAATGTAATATCTCTGGGAAAGTTCATATATTACAAAAATGCCAACATTTGTATTTTTAGGTTATTATTAAAATAATAGAAAACATTTTAAAAGTCTCCTGGAGAACTTGCACTCCCTGTGCATCTATATTAGCCCAGCTGCAGAAATTCCTCACCTGCTCTGGAGGGCACCTGAGTGGAGTTGAAGTAGGCAGAAGGCAGAAGGGGAAACTGAGGCCCTAAGTGGGTTGTGGGCGATGTGTGTACCCTCATTCACCTGCAGGATGAGCCAGGCTGGACCCTGGTCGCCCATCTCCCAGCCGCGTGCCCCTGCCAGCCACACCTCTGGCTGTGAGATAGGAGGGCTTTGGCTTGGCCATCTCTCTGCACACCTGCCTGTCTGGCTCTGGGGCATTGTGCCAGCACAGGGACTGGGGAGGGGCAGGAGCAGGGAGACAAGGTCATTTACCCTTGAAAGAAGGTGGTTACAAACGCGTCACTTACTGCAGCCCTACGGATGATTCCATACTCTCAGCAGCCCCTTGGGTGGCCTGCACAGCTCCTGCCATCCATCCCTACCCTGTGCAAATGTCTAGCCTTCCCAGGGAGCTAGCTCAATGGGCTTGCAGGTAGTAGATGGGCTTCTGCGGAGGTTGGGGTAGAGGCTCCTGGCATCCAGGGCAGGCCCGGGGTGAGCACATTCACTGTGTGTTTGTGGGGGGAGTCCCTGAGGGTTAGAGCTCTCCAGGAGCTTGGCTGGGAAGGAAGCAGAACTGAGACCTGTCGTTGGCACAGATTGTATGACTATTACGTGTGTGAGATCCACAGCGACCCTGGGGAAAATGTGCACAATATGTATGTGTGAGTGTGTGTGCATGTGCCCCTGTGTGCACATGTGTGCTGACAGAGTGTGTGCCTTCTGGAGAAGCCTGGGACAGGTGGCCGCCTTGGCAGTGAAGGCCAAGGCCCTGTCCAAACACGTTTGGCACTCCTGGAATTTAGGGGCATGGACTCTGAAAGGAAGTGAATGGAGAGAAGCCGTGCTGGTAACATCCACTGTGTGTGGGGCCTGAGGCTGGCACTCTTCATTGCTTGAAGCCTCATGACAACCCTCTTGTTACCCCATTTTGCAGTTGAGGAAACTGAGGCCCCGAGAGGTTAAGAGAATTGCTGGAAGTATGGAGTGGGTCAGTCGTAGGGCCTGGGCTCAGAGCTGATAGGACCTGGATGGTGGAGAGTCCAGCCCACCACCCCCTGAAAGGTGGGGTGTACAGCCAGGGGCTGGGGGACAGCAGTAACTGTGAGCTGTGGGGACAGACAAGGGCCCTGCCTAAGGCGATGCTTGGCACTAGCCAGGAGGGTCTGACCATTCTGGAGCTGGGAGAGATGAGGTTGTGGGGGTGGTAGGGGCATCTTTCCTCTTGCTCACCAAAGAGGCTGGCCCTCTTGAGAGCTGGACCAGCAGCCTCTGTGTGTCCAGGACACACCCTTGCCCATCTCGGAGCCTCTGATTCCCCATCTGGATTAATAACAGCACCAACCTCAGAATGCATGTAAGGGTCACACTTTGGCAGTGAGCAGAGTGACCAGCCTGTGGTTGGTGCCCTGGATCCCTGGCTCTTAGGTTATAATTACCCCAGGTGGGGACACCCCAGGGCTCCAGAGCCTTTGCCCTCCCCACCTGGCTTGGGGCTCGGGTCCCAGGGTGCAGCTCTTCTCCAACCCCTGATGCTTCCAGGGTGAATAAGGCTGTGAACCGGGGCCTTTGCTGGGGTGTCTGCAGCCTACACACCTCCCGCCTGCCAGCCAGTTCCAGTTATAGGTTGTGAGTTACTCACTGGCTTGGACTGTAAGGGGTAGACATTTACAGATTTTTTTTTTAATCCACCCACTCTGTGGTCAGTCCTGTTCTGGGCCAGGGACACCGATGTAGAGGAGATATCCTGACAGGCTGTGGGAGAGACAGGATGTCTGTAATTGCAAGTATAACTCAGACGCCACTTTGATGACAGTAGTAGTGCCTGCCATTTATTATGTGCCAACTGCATGCCATGCACTCTGCCTCGTTCTTTATATATATCAACTTTAATTGTCCCAAGAGCCCCATGGCAGGGTAGGTGAGCATGGGATACTGTGATTATCCTCAGAGGGGATTCGCAATTTATAGATGATGAAACTGAGGCAGCACAAGGACGCTAAGTAAATTTCCCAGATCAGTCTGCCTCCAGAGCCTATACTCTTAGCCTTTATGCTCTGCTATAGGGCTTGTTTGGAGAAGGAAATGGCAACCCACTCCAATATTCTTGCCTAGAGAATCCCATGGTCAGAGGAGCCAGGTGGGCTGCTGTCCATAGGGTTGCACAGAGTCGGACATGACTGCAGTGACTTAGCATGCATGCATGCATTGGAGAAGGAAATGGAAACCCACTCCAGTGTTCTTGCCTGGAGAATCCCAGGTACAGAGGAGCCTGGTGGGCTGCCATCTATGGGGTTGCACAGAGTCAGACACAACTGATGCGACTTAGCAGCAGCAGCAGCAGCAGCGTAGAGGTTGTTACTGTGCTGAACCTTAAATGTGGGTGATCTGTCAGGCAGAAAGAAGGGGAGACCAGGTGAGAGGAATGGTATGCACCAGGGTCCAGAGGCAGGGGTGCTGTGTGGGGGCAGTGGGGCGACGCATCTGACTGGGGATAGGCCCAGGTGGGGAAGGAGTGACAGGTAGGCAGAGAGCCCAGGGGGCCCACGGGGACGGCCTCGAAGCCCCGAGGTGTGGCTCATGCTCCTGTGGAGGGGAATAGAAATCTGTGTGACCCTCTCCCTATGGCCAGCGGTGAAGAACCAGGTCACAGGCAGCTTCATCCTCAACCCCAAGGGCAAGGAAGCCACGAGCCGGACTTTCACCGCAATGGGGCTGGAGTGGGAGTATGCGGTGGAGGATGCCAAGGAGAGCCTCAAGACCAGCGGGCCCCTGCCCGAAGCCGTCACTGTCCTGGTGAGCCCTCACCTGCGCGGTGGCCCCTGCCCACTCCCCTTGCTGCCCCAGCCCTAGCTCACCATCTCTGCTGCCGAGCCAACACTCCTGTTCCTGTTCAGGTGTCAGGCCAAGTTGCCCTCTGTACTTCCAGGCTGGTGGGATGGAAAGTGAGAAGGGAAAAAGAATCTGTTGTCTCACTGTCCGATCAGAGACACCCTCTTCAGGGAGCCTGTTCTCCATAATGCAGGCTCAGAGATAGGGCCCAGGAGGAGCTGGAGGACCTGGGTTGGTTCCCCCTGTTATTGTACCGTCTTTTGGCCTTCACTTGCATTGTGACTTTGCCAGCAAGTGAATCCAGTGGCCTGTGGCTCAAGGGTGCTGTCTGACACTGCCAGCTACTGTCCCAGCTGGGGCCCACCTCTGCCCACACCTCCTCTTCCTAGACCATAAGCCAGAGCTTATGGATCAGGGGTTGTTAACTTGGGAGACCAGACCAGGAGAGGCTCTGTTGTCACCGGCTGGTGGCAGGGAGACCCTGGACATGCTTTGTTCCTGGTGATACTCTTGCTAGTCAGGGAGGTCCTGGAGGACAGGGTCTGAAGCCAACCGGTGTCAGTATATTAATTCAGTCCAACATGTGCTACCTGTTCACCCTATTTTTACTGCCCACTCATACACCTATGGCCAGTTGAGTTCCAACAAGAATACCAAAAACATTCAATGGGGAAAGAAGAATCTCTGCAACTAATGATGCTGGCATAACGGGATATCCACAGGCAGAAGAATGAAGTTGAACCCCTGCCTCACACCATATACCAAAATCAGCTCAAGATAGATCAAAGCCCCAAGAACAAGTGATAAAGCCATAGAACTCTTGGAGAAAAATAGAGGGATAAATCATGACCTTGGATTCCTAGATATGGTACCAAAAGCATGAGCAATGAAAGAAAGAAAAAAGAGATAAACTGGTTTTCCTGGAAATTGAAAGCTTTTGTACATGAGAAGACATTTTCAGGAAAGTGAGAAGATAACCTGTACAGAATAGGAGAAAGTATTTGCAATCATATATATCTGATAAGAGTCTCTATCGTAGACCATCTTCTGGAGACAAGCAGTGTGAGTGCTCTCATGAGCAGGACAGACCAGCAGACATGGTTCCTGCCCTTGTTGGAACTTAGGAGCATGGGAGGGAGAATCACCGATGGGCACACAGGCTGTTCAGTCCAGGCACACAGTAGGTGCTTGGCCTGAGCTTCCCTGTGGCTATGGGTCTGAAAGTCCTCCCCAGGCCATCCTTGGTGCTGCCCCCTCCTGTCTTCCACTGGTTCTGCTTCTGACCCCACATCCTGGGTCACTCCTCCTCTCTGGTCTCCCTATGCTGGCCTTGCTCCCCGCCTCTCCAGTTCTGTGCCACCTCCTCCGTCTCCCCTCAGGTGCTCCCCCCTGCTGAAAGTGGCCCCCGCAGCAGTCTGGCCTACAAGTACATCATCCATGAGGACCTGCTGCCCCTTATCGGGAGCAACAATGTGCTCCTGGAGGAGACAGACACCTATGAGTGGGCACTCAAGAGCTGGGCGCCCTGCACCAAGGCCTGTGGAGGAGGTACCAGCCTGCCTGACTGCAGCGCCCTTGTGGGGCAGCCCAGGGCCTCTCGGGAGAGGAGCAGGAGGGGTCAGGGGCCTGAAATTGTCTCCATTTACCATGTCCCCAGCTCATGCCTCAGTTTCTTCTTGAAGGTCTCTGGGGGTGTGCCAGCCTGCCTGGGTAGGGCCTTGGGGTTGGGCTGGGGGTGCTAGAGTCAACCCTGGGGCAGGGTCTCTGCCCTGCAAGGGCCCCCCTCTGTGCAGAGGGGCTGTGGTGCAGAGCCATATCTCCACCTGTACTATGGCAGGGACACCTGAGATGGGCTAGTCAGGTGGCTTCCTTAGAAAGTGACTTTGGGAGGAGATGTTGCAAAGGCACAGAGGGAGGTGGGACTGGCTCCTGGCCCTCCAGACCTCACAGTCCCTGAGGCTCTGGGCCAGGATAGTGGGGGACCTGGCGGAACCGAGCCCCCACAGCAGGCTGCCCTCCCTCCAGGGATCCAGTTCACCAAATACGGCTGCCGGCGCCGACGAGATCACCACATGGTCCAGCGGCACCTGTGTGACCACAGGAAGAGGCCCAAGCCAATCCGCCGGCGCTGCAACCAGCACCCGTGCGCCCAGCCTGGGTGAGTGCTTCCGGGGGAGGGACGAGGAGGCTGAACACAGATGTCCCACAGTTCTGACCTCAGGATGAGGGGTGCTCCTCCAGCACTGGAGCGTGGGGGCACACAGACCCTGCAGTTGGGACTGTGAGCAGAGGGCACCCACACACAAGACACTGCCCCTGCCCAGCACTGCCCTCTTTGCCCATCCGTCCCCTCTGAGGTTTCTAGATTAGCTTTCACTCCCAGAAAGAGGAAGATGCCACCTTTGTTCTGTCCCTCCCAGCATCCTTTTACAGGTGGGGAGGCTGAGGTCTGATCTATGGACCCAGCTTTCTCTCCATGATCCAGGGGGTCCATGGAGGTGAAGAGGACCTCAGTGCTTCTAGGGCCTAGGCCGGGGCATGTCCATCAGCTCCTCTGGGCAGTTATCTGGGGCCCAGGGATGCGGCCCAGCCTGCCAGCCCCCAGCCATGTTCTAGCCCCTGATTGGGATTTCCTGACTCTTTTGATAACAGGGTCATGTTCTTGGGGCTGTTTGGAGAAAAGAGGGGCTTTTTTTCTCTTCTCTTGGGGCTTAGGGGAGAAAAGAGCCGTGATTGGTGTAGGATCGAGATCTGGCCTCTGAGCCTGTTGCCCAGCACCCTGTCAGCCCCTGGCAGACTTCTTTAGTGGCCCTCAGGCAGGGCCGAGGTTAGTGGGCCAGCAGGAAACCACAGAGAGCCAAGTCCACCCTCCTGCCTCCCTGGAGTCCTCTCAGGGTTAGGGAGGGGATTCCGATTCATACTTGCTGACCTATAGCAGCTCTCTTCCGGTAGGGTGGAGGCGCCTGGGGCCAGGGTGGGAGCTGGTGACCGGTGCTAGAGCCTGCCATGGCCTCCCCGTGTCCAGCTCCAGGTCATGGTCCCCAGCCCCCTCGCCCTCCATGCTTTTCTTTGACACATTACTTTTTATTCCGGCCGCTTTCCCCACAGACACTGGTGGTCACAGAGTATGTGGGGCTAACGCCTTCATGACCCTCAGCAGGTTGCCCGCCGGAAACATGGCTTGTCTCTTCATGTTTTAAATGCCAAGTGAAGTTTGAGGGCTTTTGGTTTTGTTTTCTAAAGGAAGGGGTTGACTGAAATCCCTGGTTTATTAAACGATGCCTCAGGAAACAGAGGAGTGGCATTTGGGGGCTGCCCTCCCTCCATCCTGCCACAGGGTCTTGTATTTTCTCTTTCTAGACAAGAGCAGTTTTGCTTTGGTCTAACTCTTCCAGTGGGCATCTGCTTAAGATGCCGCTGGGAAGTTGCTCTGTGGCTGAAATGCTCGGAGACCACCAGTTTGGCTGATCAGCCAAAGCTCTGCAGGCGGTGATAGCGGCAGTGCCTGCATTTATGACACACCTGCTGTGTGCCATGCACCCTGCCACATGCTTTACATTTACATGTCCTTAACTGTCCAAGAGCTACTGGAGGCTGGGGGTACTTCTGCTTCTCTTGTGGCACGCGGACTCTCTAGTTGCAGTGTGGGCTCCTGAGCCCATGAGATTTGTGGTTTGTAGCACACGGGCTTAGTCACCCTGCAGCATGTGGGATCTTAATCCCCCAACTAAGGATTGAACCCATGTCCCCTGCATTGGAAGGCAAAGTCTTAACCACTCAGCCACCAGGAAAATCGAGTGTTGAAAGAATCCTGATGTGAAGGTGGGCTAAGTGTGGCTTAGAGTGGTCAAGAGCTTGCAGGGTGCCAGGACACGCAGAGTGGCAGGATTTAGATAGGCATTATACCCGTTTTTCAGACGAGGAAGCTGAGGAGGGAATAAGTGGCCTCCCTAAGGCCGCACACCTGGCGGCTGCAGAGTCAGGTGGGTGGCTTGGCCCCCAAGCGTGCTGAAGCCCAGACCTTCTCTCTGGCTCCTGCCTCCTGTGGTTCAGAGGGTGGGAGCAGCTCTGGGAGAAAGTATGCCACAGTCCTGCCTTCCCGCTACCTTTCTCCCTGTCTGTCTCCAGGTGGGTGACGGAGGAGTGGGGCACCTGCAGCCGGAGCTGTGGGAAGCTCGGGGTGCAGACTCGGGGGGTGCAGTGCCTGCTGCCTCTCACCAACGGTACTCACAAGGCCATGCCGGCCAAGGCCTGCCCCGGGGAGCGGCCTGAGGCCCGTCGGCCCTGCCTCCGCGTGCCCTGTCCACTCCAGTGGCGGACAGGAGCCTGGTCCCAGGTGAGCTGTTCTCAGAGGGTGCAAGGGGCTGGGCTAATAGGCACTTACCCTGGAAAGTCCAGAAAGAGGTGAGTCTGGGAGGGGGAGCTGCCGAGAGTTCTGGTTGTCCATGCAGGCAGAGTTTCTGACTGAATTTCTTTCCCCACATCTGATTTGACTTTTCTCAAAACTAAGTCTGGCAGCTTCCATGTTTGCTGGGACATGGGTCTGTGCTTGGCCTTTATATTATTCAGTATCTGCTTTGACCTTCACTGAGAGCTAGGAGGCCTGGGCTAATATCCCTGTGTTTTAGATACGCAAATTGAAGCACATTCTTTTTAATATTTGTTTTTCTTTGGCTGTCCTGGGTCTTACCAGGATCCTCCATTTTCACTGTGGCATGTGGGATCTAGTTCCCTGACCAGGGATGGAAGCTGGGTCCCCTGCATTGGGAGGACAGAATCTTAGCCACTGGACCACTAGGGAAGTCCCTGGAGCACATTCTTGCATTCAGGAAATATTTACCGAGTGCCAACTACTTTCCAGGTACACTGTGCTAAGAAGGCCTAGAACCCATTTCCAACAGACCTGATTTGTGTCCTTGTGGTGCTTACAGTCCAGTGAGGGAAACATGAGACAAGTACCAGAAACAAAAGCATGTACAAGCTGCAGTTGGATCTGAGCAGAAGTAAGCAGGGTCACATATCAGGGAGGGCCTCTTTGAGGCGGTGACATTTGAGTTGTGACCCGAGGTTTGAGCCATAGGAGGACCCCGAGGCAGGAACGACCTTGTTATATTCCAGAAACAGAAAGGGGCTAGAGCTGAATGGGAGGGGCAGGGATTTTAGGATGGCTTTGGAGAGGTGGGCAGGGGTCAGATGCTGCAGGGCTTTACGAGGAGTTAGTTATTCTAAGAGCAGTGGGAACCTTGAAAGGTTTTAACGTGTATCACAAGCTCTGATTTCAGGTTTAAAGATCACTCTGGCAGCTCTGTAGCAAATTCATTGTTGGGAGGTCAGCGAAAGAAAAGGGAGACAATAAGAAGGCTGTGGAGTGGTCCAGGGACCACAGGGTCTTGTGTTTTCTTAAAAATTCATTGGGTTTGAGCTTTGAAGACATTACGTAGAGTGAAATAAGCCAGACACAGAATGATGAATACTGTATGATTACTTTGGAGAAGGCAGTGGCACTCCACTCCAGTACTCGTGCCTGGAAAATCCCATGGATGGAGGAGCCTAGTAGGCTGCAGTCCATGGGGTCGTGAAGAGTCGGACATGACTGAGCGACTTCACTTTCACTTTTCACTTTTATGCATTAGAGAAGGAAATGGCAACCCACTCCAATGTTCTTGCCTGGAGAATCCCAGGGATGGGGTCGCACAGAGTCGGACACGACTGAAGTGACTTAGCAGTAGCAGTATGATTACTTAACGTGAGGTACCCACAACAGTGAAATCCATAGAGACAGAAAGTAGAAGGGTGATTGCCAGGGGCTGGGGGAGAGGGGATGGGAAGTTAATGTTTAATGGGCACAGAGTTTCTGTTGGGAATAAGAATCAGTTCTGGACCTGAGTGGTGAGGGTTTCACAATAGTGTAAATACACTCATTGCCACTGAACTATGAACGTAAAAATGGTCTCAATGTAAATTGTATGGTCTGTATATTTGACTATAATTTTTGAAACCTCAACTGATCTCAGAGATAAGCACAATAATGCTTATTTCAATACAAAAATACCAGGAAATATATGTATGTATCTATCCATCCATAGGAAATTATACCAAAAAACCCCCCATGGTCTGTTCACATAATAAAATACTATACAGTAAGAAAAATAAATAAGCTTGAACTGTACTTATCAACATAGATAAACCTCAGAAAAATAGGTGAGAAAAAGCATTGATGTATGAAGGACAAAAACACTTCCAATGGGGCTACCATTTATGTACAGTTTAAAAAGACACAGCACAATATTTGAAAATATGCCAGAATGCTGATTTATTAACATTGCTAGTGGGCTGTTTGAACAGGCGTTCATGACCAACTTCCTCATACTTTTCTGTAGGCTTGAAATATCACACAATACAGAGTATTTTATTTTTATTATTATTAATTTTGTGGGTTGCGCTGGGTTTTCGTTGCTGCATGCAGGCTTTCTCTAGTTGTTGTGATCAGAGGCTACTCTCTAGTTGTGGTGCATGAGCTTCTCATTGCGATGGCTTCTCTTGTTGCAGAGCACAGGCTCTAGGGCATAAGGGCTCAGCAGCTGCAGCTCTCAGGCTCTAGAGCTCAGACTCAGTAGTTGTGGCCCGTGGGCTTAGTTGCTCTGAGGCATGTGGGATCTTCCTGGACCAGGGATCAAACCCATGTCCCCTGCATTGGCAGGTGGATTCTTATCCACTGCACCACCAGAGAAGTCCAAAACAGAGTATCTTCAATAACTAAAAATCCCCACACAACCCATGCAGGGTTTATATTCTTCTCCGTGACATATAGCTTTATTTGTTTGAATGTAAAACAGACAGATTGCTGGTCCATAAGGGACCCCTTACATAAAACAGAGGTGACAGCTGGTGGAAGATCGTTGCCCCCGTAAGACTGGCAGAGACATTCCAGAGCTATTGTTGCTTGTAACTCTTCATCCTGGGTAGATGAACTGTCTTAACTGTCTTTGTCCTGTGGTTCTGTGTGGTGTGTGACCCCTGTGTCTCCCTGGGTTGTCACCTGCCCCGGTATGTGAAGGAGACCTTTGCAAGTCCTTCCATTCCCACTGGGGAGGCTGTGCTCAGTGCTCGAAAAACCCAGTGACCTCAGAAGGCATGGGTTTGATCCCTGGTTGGGGAAGTTCTGCATGCCATGTGGGGTGGCCAAAAAGAAAGCCCCAAACAAACAAGCCCAGTGACCTGGTCACATGGGGCACCCTCCCTTGCTTTTCCTGAAGTGACCCTACTGATCTATTAGAGCATGGGGGGTCCAGGAGATGGTGTGTGTGGCAGTCCTCACCAACGGCCTTCTGCTCCGGGCACCCATGCCAGGACACTTTTGAGCATGTCTCTGCATGCTGAGTTTTAGAAAGCAGAGTCATTGAATGTCAGAGCTAGAGGGGTCCGTGGGGACCCCAACACCTAGCTCTCTTGGCTTAGCTGGTGTTACAGTCTGGGTTCCTGCATCCCGTTGACAACGTATCATCAAATGCATAGACCTGCCCCAGGTCCCTTGAACTGGTGGATGGCAACAGGGAGTGTGCCAGGGTGATACACAAATTATTTGAGGACCCAGGCACAAACCAGACACAACGGACATAGGCCCCCTTCAGGAGGTGGGGAGGTTCGGGGTGGTCTGAGATCAGGACAGTGGCTCTTTCCCAACTAGTTGAGGAACATTTGGGCTTCCCTGGTGGCTCAGATGGTAAAGAGTCTACCTGCAATGTGGGAGACCCGGGTTCAATCCCTGGGTCAGGAAGATCTCCTGGAGGAGGGCATGGCAACCCACTCCAGTATTCTTGCTTGGAGAATTCCATGGACAGAGGAGCCTGGCGGGCTACAGTCCACAGGGTCACAAAGAGTTGGACACAACTGAGTGACTAAGCCGCAGCGGCAGCAGAGGAGAATTTGAGGTTGCTGCACTGACCTGGAGAGGCTGTTGAGTGCAGTCCTTGCACGTCCCCCTGGTCAAGCAGAGACTTGGCACCCTCCTCTGTACACTTCTGTCCTGCACATTGGCTGGGCTTCGGAGCTCACCATCTCCTTCCTGTGTCTCTCCACCCACCCCGGCCTGCCCCCACCCCCCATGACAGTGCTCCGTCACCTGTGGAGAGGGCATCCAGCAGCGGCAGGTGGTGTGTCGGACCAACGCCAACAGTCTGGGGCAGTGTGAGGGGGACAAGCCGGACACGGTCCAGGCCTGCAACCTGCCCGCCTGCGGAGGTGAGCTGGGTAGGATGGGAGTTGACCTGAGGCCCAGCCTGACTGGCTTCCCAGCCCACTGGTACCCCCCAGTACTAGAGCTTCTTCCCCACCTCTCCCAGGAAACCTCCAGAACTCCACAGTGAAGGCAGACATCTGGGAACTTGTGACCCCAGAGGGGCAGTGGGTGCCACAGTCTGGGCCTGTGGATCCCATCAACAAGATATCATCCAGTAAGTATATCTCTGGACCCTATCCCTTTCCCAGCCTCCCAGTGTCTGGCATCACCAGCATGGGCCGTGCAGTGGAGCAGACCCAGCTTCTAGTCTGTCCGTGTGACCTTAGTCTCCTGAGGTGACCATCACCACCTCACAGCCTTGGATTCCTCAGCTGTGAGCGGGGGTGATGCTTGTATTGGTCAATAGTTCCTTATCTGCTGTTCCAAAGTAATTGAAATGCAAATGTCTCCCTGAATCTGGGGCAGACTCATTGGGCAGCAAAATCTGAACTGGACTAACAAGAGATTATTTTTTTGCTACAGAAACATTGCCATATTTGCTTACAAGGTGACCTCCCAGGCCCACCGGGGATGTTATATAATATGAATACACTGAAGATTACTTTTCTAACTTCCAAAGTACTGAATTATGAATCATTTCTGGTTCCAAGGTTTGGGGATGGCAGTGGTAGTTCTGAGCTGTCTTTATAGGGCATTTGAGAGAATTAAATGAGATAATGCATGCATTCCTGACTAGCTGTCAGCTAACAGCAACAAAAACAATAGCAGTCATTTCTCTCTGCTTCATGATCCTGAGCCTCTCATCTTTCATCCTCTCATCTTTCCATCTATCTGCCTGTCCATCCATCTATCCACCTATCCATCTATTAATAAATATTGACCAAGAACCTACCAGGCTTTATGTTCTGTGCTTCCTTCCTAGGTTCTTCTCTATTTCCCTTTCTCACTGTCCCAAGGACCAGGGTCTGTCAAGATGAGTAGCAGAAAGATCCCAGACCCTGACTCCTAGTGAGAGGACCAGTTGGTTGGCTGTGTGACCTCATGCACATCTGTGAACCTCTCTGAGCTCAGCAACTTTATCTGTAAAACAAAGGGGTCTGATTAAATGTCTTCAGGTTGTCTCCTGGCTCTAGTCTTGCTGCTGCTCTGCTCCTTTGCTGAGGCTCAAGCGGTGCAAGTGTCTAGTTTCCTTTCCTTTCACTCTTGGGAGCCAAGGGGAGCTCTTACTCTGGTCCTAGAATTCTGGCGCCATCTAGAGGCCACTTGTTTTCCATTTTCTCTAATCTTTCTCATTCCCGTTAGCCTGCACCCTACCTTTTCTCTCCTTGCTTCTTCTTCTCCATTCCCCCTCCTCCCATGTCCCCTCCCATGTCCCCTCCCTCTCCCCTTCCTTCTCCTTTTCTCTTTCCCTGGCAAAAAGTAGTAGAAAGCTAAGCTCCTGACTTCACATTGTCTGGAAAGACCTACCTGAAGTTATCGCAGAAACGCAAAAATGTTTTTAGACGACATTTAAGCCAAAGCAAACAAAACTAACATAGTGAGCACCCCTCTATGCCAGAAACTTTTTAAATGCTATTTTCAATAATAATATTATTATTATTTGGTAAATGTCAGCCTTATCCCCATTTTACAGAAGAAACTGAGGGTTGAAGAGTTTAAGGCCTCGCAGCTTTTAAGTGGTAGAGCCTTGAATGGAACCTAGTTCTGCTTGATTCCACACTTAGTGTTAAGGGAGATTAGTGTTTCACATGCGTGCTGATTGGTGGCAGGACGTTTAGGCTGCTTGTCACACTGGGTTACCAGCTGCCTGGACCTGGCTGGAGCGGATCAGATTCCTCAGGGTTGACTGGGAGACTGGAGGTGGGAGCTGGAGGACTGAGTAGGTGGTGGGACCTGGCGGATGGGCGCCTCCAGCATCGGTTTCTTGTGCTGTGTGTGCAGCGGAGCTCTGCGTGCGGGACAGGTCCATCTTCTGCCAGACAGAAGAGCTCGATCGCTACTGCTCCATCCCCGGCTTCCACCGGCTGTGCTGCGAGTCCTGCACCAAGAAGACCTTGAGCCTAGACCCTGGCCTGACTTCACCACCACCCTTCTCCACTCCCGGGAGCCCCTTCTCAGCACCCGTGGCCCCTCCAGATACTGTGGAGCCCTCTGTGGGGCCAACGGGATCAGATCACCGTCAGCGAGACCAACCCACACCGCTCCCAGGACCCCTGGGCACGAGCGCCCCCGTGACCCAAAGCGACTTTGCTCCCCAGGAACCAACCCCTCCCGCGTTCTGGGACACTTCCGCGAGTGCCCCCTGGGGCTGGACGGGGGCCCCTAGCCCAGCTTCTGAAAACAAAGGGCAGCTCAGGGAAGACCCGAAGCACCCAGGCACCAGCCTTCCCTCCACGGCCCCAGTGACATGAGCCCTGCCTTGCCCTTCCCGCCAGTCAAGTTTACAATCTGTGCTGCCCCGAGACCCCCGGCTCAGAGAACACACAGCGGGGCGGGGGCCCGCACGGACTGCCTTTTAAATTATTTGCCTTCTTGTCGTTCTAGTTTGGGGCTGTGACACTTTACACCCTGTGAAATGGGTGTATGAGGAAGAAAAAGATCAGGGAAAGTCCTAACCGGAGATACCTCAGCAAGCAGCCCAGGTGACCGAACCGAACCTCTCAGGGGCTCCTGTCTGTCTCTCCTGCCAGGACTGAGGGCCTGCTACCACCCCTCCGTCACCCCTGGCCACCAGGCCCCACACCGGATCCCTTTGCCAGGACTTGTGAGGACCCCGGTGGAGGCCCTGTCTACTGGGCCCCTCTGCCCAGAGAGGCAAAGCAGGACAGGGAAGGTGGAGGGAACGCTCGGAGGTGGTCTGAGAGGAAGTGGGCTGGGGGAATTCAGCTACAGGCCTAGGGTGGGTGGGAGGCAAGTTCATCTCAGACTCAGCTCTTCGAAGCAAGAGCTCCAGACAGCTCCTCTGGCCAAGACCAAGGAGCAGAGTCCAGCTTGAGTGTGCGGGCGGGAGGGCAGTGTTGGCCACGTCTGCACCTGCAGATGGCACTTCCTGTGCCTTCCAGTGCCTCCAGGTTACAGGTGGGCCTCCTAACCTCACCCCAGCCCCCAGCCCCCACCCCCTGAGAAGGGAGCTCTGGACGCCCTGGAGCATGTGTCCTCACCATCCAGGGGATTCCCAACTGGTGCTAGACCCCGGGCTGAACCAGGAATGGCAACTGTGGTCATCACTTTGGTGCATGAAGGGAGCACAGCCTGGAAGGTGACTTGGGGCACGCGGAGACATGAGTTCTCAGGCTGAGCCCCATCCGCTGTTGCCCTCTATCAAAGACCACTCCTGCTAGAGTCAAGGGTCTTCTCCCACCTGGCTTAAGCTGGGCCAGAGGTGTATTTGTGGTGCTGGGTAGGTGTAGGAGGGTGACCAGACTCCAAGGCTGAGAACCAGAGTCCACCCATAGCCAGCCTCTGGGGTTGACAAGAGCCAAGTGCCCCAGGGCAGGACATGAACCTCTGCCCCATGGAGACACTGGCCTACGGTGCTTAGGGGCTCAGCCACCCTCTCCCCCCACACGTTACCTCCAATGGCAGGTAACTTCCTTGGACCCTCTGGCTCTCTGGAAGCCACCCAGTTCCCAGGACCTCTCCCAGGGGTCCTCACTCTGAGGCCTGCAGAGGGTCTCCTAGACTCCTCAGCAGGCTGTAAGGTGCTGGCCAGTTCTTCTGTTCCCAGGGCAAAGGGGCCATTCTGAGCCAGGCTAGAGGAATAGGGACAGTGGGCCCCGGCCTGAAACCGCTGGAGAGTGGAGGCCCTAGAGGGGCTCCCCAGGTACACTCTCCTCCCGCTGCCTACCCCTCCCAGGGCATCTGGGACACACACTGAACCATTCCTGTGCGACCCAGCCCACCTGTGTCAAGTGCCTTTGAGATCGAGATCTTTAAATTTTTATGTATTTATTAACATTGTCCTTGGTGTTTGTTTTGGACCCAAGAAAGTTGTGGTGTGTTTTTCTTTTTCTCTCCGTTTTAGCAGAAAAGGGACAGCAGAGCCAGAGCTCTACTGTTCTGGGCTGGTAAGATGACTGGGGTTGCGGGTGGACAGGGAGGGGTTGGAGCCACAAGAAGACTTGGCCCCCAGTCTCCTCACCTTGGTCGCACTTGTTCTGGGGCTCCTCTGAACATCACCTTGGTGGAGAGGCAAGAGCAGGGCTGGGGTCCTGGGGGTCCCACCTAGGCTGTTCCATCAAGTAGCTGTGTAGTCTTGGGCAAGTCACTGTCCAGAGTTTGGCCCAAAGGGTGGAAGCACCTGGGAGGACTTTGGGGTCTGCATATGGTGGACGTGCTCATGAGCAGAGCTATTCAAACACACAGGGGGTGGCTTCTTTGCAAGGTGGTGAGTACTGTTTCCCTGGAAAAGTCCACGCAGGACGTGGATGTCGGACAAGAGGCAGAAGGAACATGATGGGTCTTATTGGGCAGGGAGGGCTGATGTGGAGGTTGCTGTATAATTTAAAACTATGGATCCATGCCTTACTCCTTGCTCATGACAGACATCACTAATCCATTACCACAGTGTACCACAGGCCCCTCCCTGACATTTGTGGGGCCCAGGACAAGGGCACAGAGGCCCCATCCAGTGACCTCACATGCCCACGGGTGTCTAGCTTTCAAGTCCAAGCTCCATTTATATCCCTGTGCAAATAGCTTCCCCTTAGAAACTAGCCCTTCTAAACACTTCTGTCACTTGGACCTAGGGGTACATAGGTGGTGACCCAGTCACACATGGGGGGTGCCTAGGGAGATGCTACCACAGGCCCTAGAACTGCACTCAGGACTGTTGGGGTAAGGAACACTGCAGGCTAGTGTGCTCAGGGTGTAGCCTGCAGGAGGGGACTCATGGGCCTTGGGGGAGGGTACCTGACCGTGGTGCAAGCCACCTTGCCATGGTGCATAGTATGGGTGGAGTGGGGCCCTCTAAGATCTCCAACACCCCAGTTCTAACAGCAGTACTGGCACATTTCGTGGGGCAGGGATAGCACATGGAAAATGCCAATGCTGCCCTGTATTGTGCCCATGGCAGATATTGCCAATCCATCACTGCAGTCTTCCCTGCTGAGCCCAGATTCCCTTGGAGGCCTTCACATAGTGCTCCAGGTACTGACCTCCGATCAGTTGCCATGGCCAGGACAAGAAACAGTGATGTTAGACTGGGTCAGTGAATTTAAACTTTCACACCATTGGGAACCTTTGTTCGGGCTCAGCATCTCAAAGCAGGACGGCAGTGGCCCAAGTGGAGGAAGAGGGACCAAGAAACCAGCCCCAAGGACCCTCCTCTGACCTCGAGGACCCCACAGAGTCCTGTGTGTGGACGACACAGCTCTAGGGAGCCTGTGAGCTCTAAGGTTCTGTGGGGCCCTCAGCCCTTCTGCTCATCTGAAAAAGTGTCAGTGAAAGCATTTGCCTTGCCCACCTGTGAAAACAACGTGACCAGAAAATGCAAGAGATGGTGGATGAGGGGTCTCCTGGGGGTGACCTTGGTCACTGGGCTATTCCTGGAACAGGCTTGAGGGATCCAGTCAGCGTGGAGGATGGATGAGCTGTTGCTGTGCCACAGGAGTAGACCAGAGTCAGGGCTTGGGCTCCTCGAAGTTCCCAGCCTCCACCTGTGGAATCCTGCTGCTTTCCCAGTGTCCCTGTAGCCCTTTCATCCCTGTGGGTCCTGTTGCTCTTGGAAGCCCAGGCCATGGCCCTGACCAAAAGTTACCCATACCCTGCTTAGGATGTAGAAAACTACAGGAGGACATCAGTTCTACCCTTACAATAAGAAGCCAGTAAGCTGCAGTGTCATGCCTCTTTTAGCCTGTTATGGGGCTGAGGTTTCAAGGTAAGCTGGTGGGTTAAATTTCAGAGGGTGACTGAAAGAAAGAGAGGCTCCGCATGCTCATCTACCTCTGGCAGAGCATGGAAGGAAGTGGTCAACAGAGAAGCAGGTAAGAAAATGCAACTGAAATTTTAACCCACTTTTAAAGGTTATGGTGACAGTTTGGAATCATTGGGAGCTCTGTGCCCAGGGGGAGCCTGCACCTACTCATCCAATCTTGTCCATGGTCCTCAGCTGGATGCACACAAGGACGATCTGGGGCAGGACAGGTGAGCCTTGAGTGGACCCTCTGGGGCTCTGACTAAGTCTGAGAGTGCAGATTAAGAAAGCAATTCCAATTCACAGTGCACCAGGACGCAGGCTACCTGTACATGGAAAACTAGGAAGTCTTGCTCAGAGACGTGTAAGAATAGCTAAAGAAAGTCTCAGTATGGTCAAATTTTCAAAATGACTTGTAAAGGTAATGCTGTTCCATTCAGAATTCCAGCTGTCTGGGTGTTCTTTGGAAATTGCAAAATGATCATAAAATTTTTATGGAAATAAAGAGGACTTAGGATATTCAAAACAATTCTGAAAAAGAACAAAGTGGGAGAATTTATACTACCTGATTTCTAGACTGACTGTGAAGCTACATTAACTAAGATGGTTTGGCATTGGTGTAATAGATACACAAAACAGTGGAACAGAATAGAAAATCCAGAAATAGACTCACACAACCATGAGTTCTTAACAAGATGCCAAAGTAATTCAGTCAGGATATGATAGTCTTTTCAATAAATGATGTTAGAAAAATGGAAGCTCTGCCTAGAAAGAAAGAAACCTCAACTTTCACCTCATATCATATGTGAAAATTGACTCAGTCAAAATGGGTAATCAACTTAAAGGTAAGAGCTAAAACCAAAAACTTACAGAGGAAAAACTTTTGTAAAAAATCTTTGTGACCTTGGGTTAGACCAAGATGGCACTAAATGGGCACAAACCATAAAAGAAAATGTTGACAAATTGGACTTGATCGAAACTAAAAACTTCTACTTTTCAAAAGACAGTGGTAGGTAAGAAAATGAAAAGGCAAAATAAATAAATAAATAAACAAGAAACAAAAAGCAAACAAACAAGCCAAAAAAACCCAAAGACAGCAATGGGAGAAAACCAACCAACAACACAAGCTGGGAGAAGATACTTTCACATAATATATCTGATCCTGGACTTGTATCCAGAATGTATAAAGAGTTCTTAAACAAAGCCCCCCCCCCACAAATGGGCAAAAGATTTGGACACTTTACTGAAAATGTACAACGACAAATAGGTACAGGAAAAGATATGCAACATCACTGGTTGTTGGGGAAAGGGGAATTTAAATGGCAAAGAGTTTTATTTCATAGCCATTAGAACAGCTAGTTGCTTCCCTGGTGGCTCAGATGGTAAAGAATCTGCCTGCAGTGTGGGAGACCTGGGTTCGATCCTTGGGTTGGGAAGATCCCTGGAGGAGGGCATGGCTACCCACTCCAGTATTCTTGCCTGGAGAATCCCCATGGA